TTTTATTTTAAATAAATGCTGTTCTTTGAACGTTCTATTAAAGGATCTTGGGGAAAAAATGATCAGAGTTTACACAAAACTATTAAGCAGCACAAATGTTGTTCAACTGTTTATTGTTTTTGATAATAATAAGTGTTCCTTGAGCATCAAATTAGCATATTTCTGACGGCTCATGTGACACTGAAGACTGAAGTAATGACTGCTCCAGCATTGCCCTCACAGGAATAAATTATTTTAAAATATCAAAACAGAAAACAGTTATTTCAAATGGCAATCTTTCACATTATTACTGTTTTATTCCAAATAAGTGCAGCCTTCTTCTGACTTCCAGACTTCTTTCAACATTATAAAATCTTACGGACCCCAAACTTTTGAAAAGTCATGTACATCTTTGTTTTCAATCACACTTATAACATCAGGATTCAGATTATATTTCTATCGACTTGAACCATGTTGCAGTTCCTAGAAAAAGTTTACAAACAATGCTTTTCTTTTCAAGCCAAACACTCTTTTTCTTGTTAGAGAGTGGTTATTTTGGACCCTGTCGAAATAATCAGATCTCTACTACCACCACCTGCCCAAAACAAGGTAGTACTACATAAGGACCAACTAAAGTGCCCTGATGTTAGTTTGTAGCACCAGCAAATAAATCACCATACGACACACGAGAGAGAAAGGAGCAACAGATTTTAGAATTGGTAAATTGATTATTCCTTTTTTAATTGAAGATTGACCATTTTCTTTATTTTATAGAAAACGGAGAAAAAAAAGAAATTGCCTTTTACAAACATTTACAAATAAATGACAAGTGGATGTACAAATAAGAACTGAAAGGAGAAAGACAAAAAGAAAGGAGGCAGGGAGAGTTGGATCACCACTTATAGCAACTTTTAGTTGTCCAGTTTCAAGATGACTGCCATGCACACTTTGTGCTTGATCAAAATTATCCCAAAATGTGTTAACTCATCCTTTTCTCTTTCTTACCAACAGCAAAAAAAAAAAAAAGTTTACAAACATAATTCATTAATGTATTTATCAAATTAATTCTTTAAAAAAAAAATCAACATTATTTTTGCCCATTTTAATTAGTGTCCATGTCTGCGTTTAAGATAGTGCTGTCAGTAAAGCTAAGGCAGACTGTTAGCACATGTACAGGCCAGGAAGGGGTCAGGGGTGAAACATCAGGAAGTCAAAGGTGAAGTGCTATTTCAAGCGCAGCAATTCGAGCTGATCCTGGTACTCAGTGAAGAGTCTCTGGAACCGCAAGTTTTGACCAATCACAGGCATCACCTCTGTCAACAGATCCCTCTTTCTCAGTCCCTGAAATGGACACAGAAGACAGTGCAGTTTTTGAAAACGATTCTGAATGACGCTTTGGTTTTATCAGTAAATACAAAAACTATACCAATAACAAATCTGTAATTAAGTTCCAGAAAAATTCATACCAGGACTGTCGGCTCCCAGGAGCTGCTACTGGATTTGTGAACTGGTCCCAGTAAATCCTGACATAGTTCCCTTAACCTCTGCTCATAACCTTCACAGATACACACAGAGTTATTGTAAATCTGTTCCGATTACGAAACAAACGCATCTTTATCTAAGATGGCCTGAGGGTGAATACATTTTCAGCAAATTTATAGTTTTCGGTGAACTATTGCTTTATTTCTAATAGACCCTCTTGACTCTTTTTACCAGCTGGCCACCTTCTCACTCACCCTCGTTTACGAGGAAACGTGCGTAGATGAGAAGCCAGTGTCTGTACTCGCTTGCTGAGAGGAGGATGAGGGAGGAGGAGAGCTGGTTCTCCAAGAAGGCCAGAGTCATTCCCTGCTGCAAGTGGTGAGGAGTCGATGAAAAGCGAGATGCCAACCGCCCCGCACTGAGAGAGACAGAAGTGAGACGGTTAAGGCCTGTTCACCCCAAGAACGATAACTATAAAGATAATGGGCTATCCCTTTCAATGTTCAAGCTCTTTAAAATGAGTAATTCCGACAATATTGTTCTACTATGTTGTTATCATTAGAGCTGTAGTGTGGACTTTTCCCTTTTCTCATAAAATTAGTATTAAAACTAATTATAGTGATCGTGAATCTGAAAGAAGCATTAGCAAAGTCTGTTACCTTAGATTACGGCTCTGTGTGAGAGCCAGTGGCCCCATGGAGCCCAGAGCATCCTGAGAGGTCAAGCAATTGCGGAAGTCCGCACACTGTACAAGAGAGTCCTGCTTATCTGCGATCAAATTCCTATTAGAGATGTAGAGAAAGGACACAAAATATCAGAGGCAGAACAATCATAGTGGCCCTGAAAATTATTTGGACAGTTTCTGGTTGTTAGATGTTAAAACTTCAATTAACACATGGTTTGTTTATCACTCACCAGGTCTCCAGTGAGGAGTTGAAACAGTAGGTTTTGCCATTTGACAGCGAAACCACAGGTACACCTTGCTGAGTCAAAAAAGACTGACTTACTGTAGCGTCTGTGCCTGGAGTGAGAAAGAGATAAGGTATTATTATATTTCAACTGATTTATGATAGTTCATTTGTCTAATTATTGCTGCCCATCATTTTGTCAGACAAACTTCTGCTCTTCTCATGTAATTCAGCAGTTTTGTGTACCATTGAAAAGTTTTGGTTCAGTAAGATTTTGAAATGTTTTTGAAAAGTCTCTTATGCTCACCAAAGCTGTGTTTATTTGATCAAAAATGGCAAAATATCACCACAATTTATAATAACAGTTTTCTATTTGAATACATTTTAAATAGTAATTTATTCCTGTGATGGCAAAGCTGAATTTTCAGCAGTCAATATTCTTTTGGTGGTCTTCAGTGTCACATGATACTTCAGAAATCATTCTAGTATGCTGATTTTCTGCTTAAGAAACGTTTCTTATTATTATCAGTGTTGAAAACAATTGTTGTGGAAACCGTGATCAATTTTTTCAGGATTCTATGAAGAATGGGACGTTTAAAAGAAATATTTTTTCAGCCCATGGAATAACATCCAATCAATTTTAGAACTTTATGAACAGTAGAAATCAAGGTGGGGTGGTGTTTAGCGAAGAGTCGATTAATAAAGGTCAACATAAAACTATAAAAAGAAAGAAGATCTCAATTTATTAAAGAAAGAAAGAAAAAATCCCACCTGATAAGATTGGATTCAGAGATTCATTTTTGACCAAAGCCGTCTGTTTCTGAACATCCCTGCAGAAAAGAGACAACACCAGCCATTTAACATCATGTCAGATCTAGATCTTTCAGAATTTATGTAAATAATCACTGGCCTTTAAAAAAAAAAAAAAAAGGCACAAATCAACCTGACTCCTGTTATAAATACGGCCACGTTTTTAGCATCAGTCAACAAATGACTTGTCTGGACTTTTCTATTGAGAAACATAGAGGAAGGGTCAGTACCAGACAGACAGCGTGGCTGATGCCATCAGCGCCATGACAAAGTGTCCCGAGCAATGAAGTGCTGACATGGGGGCGGACAGAATGATGGATGGAATCAGTCTCCGTCCACATGTAGTGAAGACAGAGAGTGTGCGGTCCTCGCATGCTACAGCAACAACATCGCTATGAAAAAATAAGTTACTATTAGTACCTTGATTTTTACCTTTGTCAAAATCAGGCATAAACCAGTGTGTTTTAACACGCGTTGTGTGCTCACCTGCTCCCGGTTGCTATGATGATGCGACTGGTCAGCAGCATGTCCCACTCTCGCCCCTCTCTGCTCCATTTGAGCTGACTGAGACGAGCTCCAGACACCACCGAGACCTCGTTCTCCACCTCCAGATACGTGATGGCGTCTGTACTCACCTAAACACGCAGGTTAAAAAGCCCATGAAATCAAAATGACCGTTTTGTGGATTTTAGACCATGTTTTTATTATAAGCTGATTTAAGTTCTCTAATAGCTGGGTCATTAACCAGGCTGGTTTTTCATGCAGAAATGGTATTGAGTCTATGTTTGAATTACATTACATTTAACACTTTTATAGTACTTGAGCTTGCTGATTACACATTATGATCTGCCGAGAGCGTTCATTGCATGCACAGGACTGATATCTTGGGTGTAGAGAGTTTTTGAGTCATACCTGAGTGCTAAATGACTTCTGTATGGATGGGGTAGGAAGTTTTAACACCGCTACAGGTGTTGTTAATCGAGACGGCTCCTTCTCCGCTGAGACTGGAGTCTACAAGAGAAAAGACCAGTCAAAAGTCAGTCAACAAACTTGGTCTTTGATGCGCACTGACATCACATGGGTTCTAATGAAGGACTCTCAGGGTTTCTTATGTGCCATGGTCATTAAGGTAATGGAAAGATAATGAAAGATATAGAGATTATAGTATAGAGGTCATAGTCAACTAGTGTCCATTTTTCTTATATATTTGATATACAATATAAAAAAGTTGTATAAAAATAAACATACATTCATATAGTACTCTTCACAAGTTTAAGTGTCAGTAAGATTTCTTTTATTCAGCAAGGATGTATTAAATTGATCAAAAGTGGCAGTAAATAGATTTAGATTTCAAATAAATATTTTTTTATTATTTTACTAAAGAAAGAAAATCAGTTTCCACAGAAATATTAAGCAGCACAACTGTTTTCAACATTGACAATAATAAATGTTTCATGAGCATCAAGTCAGCATTGATTTCTGAAAGATCATGTGACACTGAAGACTGGAGTAATTCAACTTTGCATCACCAAAATGAATTACGTTTTTAAATATTAAAATAGAAAACAGTTATTTAAAATTGTAATAATATTTCACAGTTACGGTTTATTTTCTGATACACAAATGCAGCCTTGGTGAGTCTTATCAAACCCAAACTGTTGACTGGTACTATGCAATATGTATTAAAATGCTGTATATACATACATATTTATTTATGAATATTCATATTCATAAATTATATGTAAAAATGTTTTTGTTATATACTTCAAATATTTTTAGCAGCTGTGCTTTAGCAGTTACACAGTTTTCACAGATCTGAACAGGCCTGATCAGTCGACTTTGAAACTCGAAAGAAGAAATGTTACCTGTGGGAAGGGCTGTGATATGGGCATCATCATTTTGGCATCTTTTCGTGGCCTTCCCTTCTTCCTCTTTTCTACCACCTCTGCTCCCTCCATCTCTCCCTTCCTCTTGGCCATAGATAGCGATTTCACCATGCCCTTGTCCTCACTATCGCTGCTGGTTTCATCTTTTCCTTTCGGCTCCTTCACAGAGCTGCTGTCTTTTACCCTGAGATAGAACCACAAAACTTCAGTTTGTTTTTAAGTTCAGTTTAGAAGAGAACACCATGCAGTTATCATGCAGATTTTATTACCTGTCAAGTGGAGTGATGCCTATAGTGAGGGGTACACTAGTGACCCCTGGCGTGGCCTTTGACCTTTCAGTAAATCGTGAATCCAGTGCTTTCATGGGCTCGATCTTGGAGGCAGATGTCAACAGCAGATTCGATTTCATACCGATCGAATTTACAGCTGCAGGTCCACTAAAAAGAGAGAAATTAGATTTTTACAAAGTATTGGTTGAGAGAGAGGGGAAATGGGACATTACATAGTAAACTTACCTGTCCTTGTTCTCTTCTGCAGTTTTGTTGGGAGAGGTGGTGGTGGGGTCATGGGAGGGTCGCAAGCCAAGTGAGTTGGCTGTACTGGAATCCGAAGAGATCTGAGGGGTGAGCTGAGTCGATGCAGACGACCCCGGCAAGATTGGGACGCTGTTGAACAATGCTGGTGAGAAGTCCCTGGGTAAAAGTAAGAGACATTCAGCCACTGAATGTATGCTGTGGTATAGGTGAGTGATAATTTTAGACGTGCTGTTGTGCGTGTTCGTTACCCCGTGTCGAGCTGTGCAATGCAGAGAGGTGTGATTCTTCTCCTCCCATCTGCAGTTCTGGTCTCCACCTGCTTCTTTAAGAGGTTCTGCCCAAAAAAAAGTGCCATTTGTTAGCAACTACAGTCCTGCAAACATATTTTTTGGGGACAAAAGTGTTAAGTGCTCTCTAAACTACTATGCTATGACCATCTTGGTATTAAATGATACATAAATATACAGATTCATACAGAGACTGAGAGACAGGCAGATGTGCATGTAAAGTGTATGCAAATTATTTAAATGTCACCCACACATTATGTATTTGCATGTAATATGTATGTAAACTATTACAATTTTCCATAACCACTCATTATGTGTATTAGGGCTGGGCAGTATGATCCGGCAATGTCTTTTAGTCCCAAAAAGTACTTGGACACTTTTGGACTCTTAAGTCACACATAAAATATATGAATTTAATTTATTTAGATACCTAAGTGTCAAACCAATTAGCATTTGGAAACAAATTATGCTAGACATGGATTTTAAATATTTGACAGAGCAGGAAACTATACTTTGTAAACTTGCAAGCCAGCCATGGCTGGAGGTGGAAATACGAGGAACCAATCATTATTTACCATATTAACCATTTTAACCACTTAAAAAAGACTGCTGTGTGTATTGTTACATATTCTTTCCTCTGACCTTCCTGATGTCCTCCAGGGACTCTCCGTTGAGCACATTGGTGAGTTTGGGCGTCTGGTTCTCATGACTGCTTCCCTGGGCTCCATTGGGGTTCTGGTTCCCCTGCCGTTCCTGCTGATACTTCAGCATTTCTGGGTTCTCAATAATAGTGCTGGAAAGGTGGGATTCCATAGTAATGGCCAGACTCTTTCCGTAGATGTTCTGATGAATAGCATTCTACACAAAGATACACAGAAATCTTATTTTCTCGCCACCTTGTTAGTTTGTGTGTGCTGAGTAACTAACTAAAAGTAGCAAAGTTTTAAGCCATTTACATTCTTTAGAAGCGTGACAGTAGCTCAGCTGTTTTTAAACAGTGTGGCTTTCCCTGTAACAAGCTATTTTTTTTAAATGCTGCATCGCTGTTGTTGTCACACTGCATTAAGCAAGCAAAGGCAAATAGCAAACACTGGAATGTCCTGTGTATCTCTTTAAGTAGGACTGGAAAATTTGAACGAATTTGCATATTTCAACAAATGGTTTAAAGAAACAATTCACATATCATTAATTAATTAAATAAATAAATAACTAAATGTGTGCAACTTAAGGGAGATTCCACTTTTTTCTGCCAGATAAACACTGCTGAGATCTTTCAATTATATAACTGAAAAGTTATTTTTGCCTTAATGTTGACTGGTGTGTGTATATTTTCTCCACCTTTTCCTCTTCATTCAAGGGATCTCCCAGTTCGTCCTGCGAGAAATCCAAGAAAGCCACAGTTCCATCCATGGAGCACACCAGGAGTCCCAGCCCATTGAGTGTCCTGAGAGATACGACCCGTTCACAATACTCTCATGCATGTAAGTTTTTACCCCACTAGAGTGTGTATGATGCTTTACAGAGTTTGGAAAACAGAAAAGCTGTTTTCTTACCATGAAATATCCATAATGGACTTATCAAAGAGGTCATGGATAACCACCAGTGGGCGCTTAAGTGAGGTGAGCTGAAAAACAAGAACAGGACAACTGATTCAAGGTGCGTCATCTTAACATTCAGAAATCACACCCTTACACTGCATGAATGTGACATTTTTTTGTCCTCATTGAAAGAGAAATACAAGAGAATGAGAACATATCAGAACATATTTGGTTCTTAAACAGCTTTGTGGAGCCTTGGACCAATAAGGCTTCACTGTGGGAGCCCAGAGTCCAGCGTAACGGGACTGACAAAATGTATTATCGTGGTTGCAGCTGGTTAGGACAAAAACTCGTTAACATGGCTGAGATGTGATTTATTGCTTCATCCTGTCTGTTTTACATTGAACATTAAACAATATTTTTAAGCAAAGCATAACCACAAAATTGTTTATACTACCATTCAAAATTTTGAGGTCAGTATGATTGTTTTGAATGAAAATAATACTTTTATTTTGTTACAAAAGATTTCTGTTTCAAATAAATGCCGTTCCTTTGAAAGTTCTATTCATCAACCGAACCGTGAAAAAAAATCAGGGTTTCCATAAAAACAGTTTTCAACGTTAATAATAAGTAATGTTTTCTGAACACCAAATCAGCATTTTACAATGATTTCTGAAGGAGCATGTGACACGAAGAATGGCGTAATAATTGCTTAAAATTCAGCTTTGCATCACAGGAATAAATTACATTTTAAAATATGTTACAATAGAAAACAGTTATTTAAAATTGTACATTTTAAGATTTTATTAGTTTCCCTTGATTTTGCACAAATTTATAATTTACTTTTAATTTAATTCAGAATTTCCAGGTTTTCCCATGATCGTAGGAACTATGATCTATAGAAATATGCCTTTATGAAATTATTATTATTTTTTTTTTTGTAGTGGGGCCAAACCAAGGGGTGATATTGAGAAGTCTCATACCCATACAGAGAGTGAGCGGTCCTTACTGCCCACAGCACAGCAGCAGTATGGGCAGCTGGGTTTGGGAGTACTGCCGTTCTTCTGTTTCTTCTTAAAGATCTTAGGATTGAACTTCTGCAAAGAGATGGAGAGGAACTCATAAACCACTTGATAAGAGACAAGAATCAACTTCTAATGCTCAGCCAATTTTAAAAATCATGATTTCATCTAAACAAAAGGAAAACACTACAGTACAAACTACGATGGAGATTTCAATGCATGCTTTTCTGTGGAATATTACAGATTTGAACCGACACTAACCACCACAGTAACAGCTTTTCGATGACCCACAAAGTCCATGTTGGTTTTCCAGCCATCGCGTTCGATGATCTGAGCTGTGGGCCCAGAATTATTCATGGCATGAGCTGAAACCAGGTACTGACCATCTGGAGACCAGCTCAGCCTCAGGACATGTGTGGTGCCGCCACACTGAATCAAAGCAAGAGAGAAGGAAAAAAAGAGAGAATACAGGGTCACACGCATGTAAACAATTTAAAGAAGAAAAAAAATAAACAAAATGAAAATAAGACTAACAAGCAAGTAAATACAATCCCAAACTAGCATTTCTGGTGAGCAGCTTGAAGTCTGAAGTCTTACTTCACTGAAAGGTTTGGTGATGTTTGTCTCCATCTGCCAGTCCATGGTCCTCCAGACCTTCAGGCTATGGTCATCTGCCTGGGAGGCGATGTACTTTCCAACTGGGTCCCACGTCAGACCTTTCACCAGCCCTGTGTGTCCCTTTAAAGTCATCACAATCTCTGTGGCATACACATATAAAAGCAAATTCAAAAATGCAGTAGACGAAGCTTTGATTCAGAACTGAATATACTGATACAGAAGCCAAACCTTTAGAAAATTCCCTGACAAAACTTTCCTAGATACTAGAGTGACCATGAAAGTATTTGGGCATTCAAGCCAAACTTAATGCCACTGCATTACAACATACATCAAACCAAGCGGCATCTGAAAAAAAACTGATGCTAGACTACTTTTTCTCAAATCTAAACTGACATTTCACCTGGAAATTTTCGAGCGTTCCATATAACGATGGTGTTATCCACACTGCAGGACGCGAGCCAGACATCATGAGGTGACCAGGCGACATCCATTACATCTGAATCAGATTTATAGAGAACACCACATGTGCTTCACACAATGCCAAAATTGAAGACAATATCCAGCATCTACATGAGCAGCGTTTTCCCCCCTCACCTCCCGTGTGGTTCCTCAGAATCATGACGCATCTCCACTGTTCCACATTAGCCAGTTTACTGCTGGACCCAAACACTGTGCTTGGACCTATGAAACTGCACAACAAAAGAAACACCACATAATGCCTCAAAGGCCTGTGAGTGGAATCTGTGGATGCATGAGTGGTATCTGTTTGTGTCTTATAAACAAAAAAAAGACAACAATCTGTGTAGGGGAGAAAGTACGGTAATAAGCAGTGCATTTGCACAAGTGGCATCTAGGTCATTCTGTCAACTGGTATATGGATTTAAAAATCGATTTTTAGCATCACATCCTTATTTTTAAACTTTAATATTCAAATATATTAAAATATTAATATTATTATAATAGCATTTTAAAAACGTTATAGTTAAAAAACAAAAAAAGTTTTAAATGTGTGACAAAACTAAATGTTTTACTAAATCATTTTGACATGTTTGTGTTTAACTTATAAACATCTCGTTTTTTTTTTTTTTTTAAATCCATTCATCGTGTGTGCGTGAAGGGAGAAATGAAAAGACAGCGATACACCGAGCGGGTCAGTTTTACTCACGCAGCTCTCTTCCACACCATGACCAGTTTGTCGTCTCCTCCTGACGCCAGGTATAAGCCATTATTTGACCAGCGCACGCAATTCACACATGCTGAAATGCACAAAGTTACATAAAACATTTAATTAGATGCTGAATATTCATCAGTGTCACACATTCCGTCTCCCATTCTGTCAGTGCAGTTCACATCCAAAGGAGTTTAAAATACATTTAAGTGACAAAACATAATCTAGACACCATCTCTGAATTGTTCTTTTGATTGTTGGGAGCAAAATATGTGGTATAAATGCAACAAAATCGAGTCTTAAGAGAACAATAATCCACAACATGTGTCTTTATTCATATATTTTAATCTTGAATATAGAGATAAAAAAAATTTAAGTATCAAGTAATACCTAAGTGATTGTCCATCTGACAAAGCAATTTGGGAATATTCTCATTCTTCTCATCCTCCTCTCGAAGAACCGGGGCCATATTCCAAATGACAACTTTCCCAGAGTCCTCACCTGTCAATCAACATTGAAAATATTAGCTCCCAACAACACATTTGTCACTAAATTAGGATGGAAATAAAACTACCTTCTACAAACTAAGCTTCATCTGAAAGCTAAACTAGAGTCAGCAAAAGAATGACAGATGTTAGAGGGTTTAGATTTTCACCTTGGCCACCTGTAGCAAACTTAGTTCCATCTGGATGGATATCAACTGAGAATATTGGTTTACCTGAAAACAAAAACACACTTATAACACAAATACAGTTTGAAAACACATCTCTAACATTGTCAAAACAAGATGCAATAATAGCAAACAACAAATGTACACAATACATAAAATGCACGATTCCAAAGCAGGTTAAATGAAATGCAAATAAGGCCACATTAGCATATAGCATACATAATTAACAGGTTAAATGGAACTTGTGACTTGTCTTTATGGCCAAATCATCTCTTAAATAACACAATTGACTCATCGACCCATGTCAGAGGTCTGCCTGTGTTTTGCAACTTCAAAATGGGTGGTGTGCACATCATATATTCATGGGTGGCTTCTTAAAAACCAGCCAAGCTAAAAAAAAAACTAAAAAAAACAGCCGGTTACTATGATTCTTATTGCGCTAAAACGTGCAAAAGAGTATCCGATCGTAAGCACAGACCTGCAGAAGAGACCCGATCCGTCTCTCTACATAACAAAAGCGCAAGTTGAAGCCCCGGATTCCTGCACAAACACACACACAAACAGACACAGAGAGAGTCGGGCTGCTGCTCTCACCATTGTGATTGACCCAACTCGGCTTCAAGAGCTTCATCTTCACGCTGATCAATTATAAAACCGCCGTTTGCAACCCGCGATCTCTCCCTCTGCGCTCCCTAGGAGAATCGTTTCCAGCGTCCGCCCGCCTGCCCGGCCGTTTAAGTGCTGCGGCTCATCCGTTACTTTGTTGCTCAGTTGAACTCCATGTCTGTCTGTCTCTCTGTCTCTCTTTATCTCTCTCTCTCTCTCTCTCTCTCTCTCTCTCTCTCTCTCTCTCATCTGTGAGCGTGAAGCAGCAGCAACTGAAGTCACGCCGGAAGTTCGCCGTCTTCTTCGAAGTTCCCTTGGAAACAAAGAATCAACTTGTGTGTTCCTTATTTACATTAATTCACTTGGCAGAGGCGTAATGAGGAAATTCCATACAAATTAGGAACTCACATACAAAAGCGACTAAATAATAGCAGCGCTACATTACATAATTTCAGAAGTATACCACAGTAAGGCTGAGGTCAATAACAATAAAGAACCACGATATTAGCACGTTTTGGACATGTAGCATAGTTATGGTATTGGTATGAAATAACATAATAGCAAGATGCTATAACTGGTGACAAAATTGAAAGCTGGCTTTTTTTTAATAGAGAATTTTTAATTCTATCTATCTATCTATCTATCTATCTATCTATCTATCTATCCCCATTGTTCCGTTTTGACATCTGCAGTTCACAGATTTAGCACATTTTATTCGAAATTATTATAAAAAAAATAAAACATTACTTTTTGTTTATAGAGGAAAACGTTTGCCAAATTATAAACAAGGATTACAATTTTCATTAAGGACAGTCAAATTAATTGTCATGTCAAATACGCACGTACAGAACTGAGTAATGGTTAGATTACAGAAACCTTTTAAAAACATATTTTGAGTGGAAAAGCGCAAAATAAAGCTTAAAAAAAAAGCTAAAAAAAAAAGTAATGCTTTATAAAACTATTTTACAGCTTCCCACTGGGTGGCGAGCGCACATCTTTTCATAACGGATGTATATAGAAATCGAACTACAAGGAAATGCGGATACAAACCAGCAAAACACGAAGAGGGCGGAGCTTGATGTGTCATAATGAATGATTTGACCACACAGCGCCCCCTAGAGGACATGAGTGCATTTACCACCAGCGCGAACAGACAGTTACCATTCTAGCTAGTTTCACTTTCGCAAGCGCAGGCAGGAAAAAGCGAGCCGCAGAAGAAGAACTCACTCAGTTTGTTGTTGACATCAGCAGGAGGTGACAGAACAGAGGCTGTCCTGTGCAGTATGGCTCAAACTTTCAGTCTATGATTTATAAGATCAGCTGACAGGGAGCCATGGGCGCATTAGCTTGTCTTTCTGTGCTGTGCTCGTTGTGGCTTTGCCCGCTGGCGTCCAGCGAACAGGTGGCATTTGTAGAGGCGTTTCTGGAAGACCATCAGCATGTTTTACAGGGTGAGGTGGTCCAGGGGAGTCTGGAGAACGACCCTATGGAAAACCACAGCAAAAACAAACATGATCTCAAAGGAGACCTCATATTAGTAAGTGATCAATGCATGCAAACAGATACTTGATATTGCAAGACATTTATTTTTGTTCTGAATGTCTGTTTCTTGCTCTGGCTGTTTAACTGCTTAATAATATAAAACTAAAGGAAACGAAATGTATTTTTTTCATTGTTTCATTGTTTTTCATTGTGTTTTTTTTTTTTTTTTTTTGCTCTGGCTGTAAAATAATCGATGTTTTATTCAATATATTTGCATTTTAACAATTTTCTCATGTGTTGACTGTGACAGCACTGTGATACAAAAAATATGTAATATTATAAATATTGACATATATTAAATATTATATAAATATTGACAATATAGTGTTAACTTATTATAGCATAGCTGCTTTTATTTGAGTAATCTGCTAAAATGTTATATAAAAGTATATTCACTTTTATCATTTGTAACATATCTTGTGCTGTGTCAGCAGTGGTACATTAAATATAAAAATACTTAAATAAACCTAAAGCTCATCTATGCCAATAACCAATATATTACCAGTATACCCCAAAAATATTAAATAATATAGACTTTATATAAAGATATATAGCATTCATTCATGTGTGTGTGTGTGTGTGTATATATATATATATATATATATATATATATATATCATTCATTTCTATGAATAAAGTAAAACAATTAGAGCACAACTGCTTAATATTACATAAAAATGTATAAACTATAAAACCTTTTTAAATCAAAATGAGAGAAAATGAAATGAAATGAAAGAACATTCTAGTGATCATCTTCTATTTTTGACTGAAGTGTAAAAATTGATATTTTAAAAACTAATATTACATAAAGTTGTGGGACACATTTGTCAGATGTTTTAAGCATCAGTGTCATGCTTCTTTTTTTCTCTCTGCAGATAAAAGACGAAGCTATTAAAACCAACAGTGAAAGCAGTGATGGAAAGGATCCGAACCCCTGGATTGGAGTGGTACCTGTCCAGATGGAGGAAGGCACAGTTTCCAGTAACAGCAACCAGGAGTCGTTTGCTGTCTCTGTGGTCAATAAGGTATTCAAAATTGTCATTGTGAAGACTAAAACATGATGATTAGGAAGTACTGATCAAACCGACAGCTCTGTCCCACAGATGAAGCGTGCTCTTGTTTTGGGTGCATCTGCTTTGATTATACTGGCTTTAAACCAGAAAACTGTCCGAGAGGTGAGAGCTTTGCTGTTCTGTTCCATAAACCTTCAGTTGATTTCATAATGGTTATTAGATATGCATAAGAATTAAAAAAGAAAAGAAAAGAAAACTGTTCTTCCTCTATAGATGGATCTCTCTCAGGTCCTCTCAAAGCCAATCATTATCATTCAGACATCAGAAAATGTCACTAAGCTCATCGGAGCACTCCTCAGGTAATCCACAGTCAAGAAATTACAGATTTTCTTCTGAATAAACAGAATATAATTTAGGAATGTGTCTTTTTCTACTTTTATTCAATTAGGGGCCTTCATGCAACGGCAAAAGTCACTTACAAGTCTTTTCTACAGGACAGTCTGGTAAGATTTTACTGATAATACATTTCTATGTAGCATAGTTTCACACTTGTTCATTAGTGTGGAAGTGTGGTATTTCTAAATGTTGTGTCAAAGGGTGCCACCTTGACCCTGTGGTCCAGCTGTGGCCGTTCAAGAGGAGGGTTGTATGGGGAATGGCAAGGGGTCATCTGCACTGGGGAGACCAACTCTCAGGTCCAGGTATGAGTGTTATGAAGACATATCATATCATCCAGGGTTACTGTCATAGCCTTACAGTCCAAAATATTTCAGTACTGTCGTGTAATCATCTTACAGTGCATCATTTTTTTCACATTTTGTTATGTTGCTGCCTTATGTTAAACTGCTTTAAATTACTTTTTTTCCCCATCAATCTACACTCCATACACCATAATGGTAAAGCAAAAAACTGGGTTTTAACATCTTTGTAAATTTATTAAAAATAAAAAACTTAAATGATTCCATTGCATAAG